CAAACGCCAGGTTAAGAGACAACTAGAGGTTTACAGGGAACCCAGTGCTATCCATTCCTGCCGCTCCCCAGCTGTGTGGCCTTGAGCAAGTGACGTCACCTCTCTGTGCCTCAGTTTCCTCGTCTGTAAGCGGGAGATTATGACAGCACCTGCTGGCAGGGCTGCCGGGAGGACCGCGTGGGTTCTGTACACGAGACGCTGGATGAACGCAGCAGGTGCTACTGCAGGTCAAGTGCACCCCCCTCTCCTTTCTCTCACTTTCTCTCCCATGTGGCACACACGTGCACACACACACTCTGCCTGAACCCTCGTCACGGGCAGCTGTATCTTCCAGGACAGTTCGATAGACCAGCACCTCCCCTGCGTGTTTGCGCAGCCCTGTGACCCTGACGTCCCTGTTAAGCGCGGGGCCCAGATTCTCTCCCGAGTCTTCCTGGGGGGCGTGGACGTTGCAGAAGGGGTGCTATCCAACTCTGGGGCCTGGCGGAACCGGCCGTGACACCTCCCACGTCTCCTGGGATGCCTGCCCCCTGGAATCACCGGAGACGCCACTCTGCTGTGACGGAGCCTGAGCAGCCGGGGAGAGGCCACGAGGGGGCAGGCCGAGGCCCTGGAGCGGCCGGCGCACCTGCGGCCAGGTAGCCCCCAGGCCTGCCGGGTGGTCTGCACAGAGCGGAGAGACTGGCCTTGCTGCAGCTTTGGGAGCAAAATGAAGACGGCGCTCCCTTCAGACCATTCTGTTTGGGGCAGGTGCTCACTGACACGCACATGTCCCTTCACCGTTCACTTTCTTCCTGAAGCCAAGGAGGTTTGGTTCTGGGGTCCGCGGCACATCGAAGTGCAGGACAAACTCCAAGCCACAGCCCTGCTGACCTGCAGCTTCAGCCTCCCAAGTAAGGACCTGGCAGAGCCAGGAAGCAGGAGCCTTGGTGCTGGGGACCTGGCAGGGTCGGCGAGTCCAGTGGTGCATCCCCGCGCCCACGGAGGACCAGCGGCCGGAAGGTGACAGTCAGGAGGCCGCTCTGAGCGAAGGAGGTGCCTCGGCTTCTGTGATTTACCACCAACCCCACCCCAGCCCCACCTCGGAAACGCCCCGCGGGGAAGCAGCTGGGGCTGGGGCGGGGCATCGAGGACTGCAGGGGGCTCCTGTTGGCCTCAGGGAAGCCTCTACAGATGCCTTCTCGAATGCGTAGAGGTGAAAGGATGTGACTCCTGCAGCTCGCTTTACGTGACTCATAAAAAAAATAGGTGATGGGAACACAGGCAATCTGTCTGGACCAGGGAGTGAAAACCGTACCTGTAAAGGGCGCTTCGCGGATACTGCGGCATGTTCTTCACCTTTTTCCCCTCACAAACCTTTAAACTGGTAAAAACCTCTCTGCCCCGCAGACTGCGGTTAGCTGACCCCAGACGTGTGTGGTTGGCCATCTCACGGCTTTTCTACTTTTCCGGGTGTTTGAGAAGTGTCATATAAAACCTGACAAGTAAAGGAGGAGCACCCTGATGGCCCCAGGCTGCCCGTGTCCAGGCTGGAGGGGTCCTGTGAGGACGCGGAGGCCCACATGCCTGCCCCGTGCCCCGCTCACGCACACTGGTCGGGCCAGTGCTGCGGACAGAGGGCTGGACCCCATCGTGGGGGGTCTACGTGCTGGTCTGTGTCTGGGGCCCAGGACTGCTTCCTAACCATCTACACGTGTGCAGATTTTGGTCGGAGACTGGCTTTCTATGTGGCCACTGTTATGGGTTGAGTTGTGTCCCCACAAAAGTCATGTCAAAGTCCTAACCCCCGGGTACCTGGGAAGGTGACCTCATTTGGAAAGAGGGTCATGCTGATGTGCTCAAGGGACGATGGTCATCCTGGGTTAGGGTGGCCCTCAGCCAGTGTGACTGGTGTCTTGATAAGGAGAAAAAACAGACACAGGAGAAGGCAGGGGAACACAGACACAGACCTGCACAGGCCACATGGCGACAGAGGCAGAGACTGGGGGATGCAGACACAAGACGAGAATCTCTGGGGGACCAGAGGCTGGGAGAGGCGGGAAGGACCCCCGCCCCGACAGCCCCGCTGACACCTCGATCTGGGGTTTCTGGTCTCCAGAAGCCAGAGACTAGATGTCTGCTCTGTAAGCCAGTGCCCAGCTGGCGGTACATCGTCGTGGTGGCCCATGGCACTAGCACAGCCAGGGATGGGGTTGAGGGAGGTGGCCTGTCCCCATTAACGTTGCAGCAGCCTCCTCAGAGACCAAGCAGACTGAGGTCGTTGGCAAAGGAGACGTCGCTGCAGGCACATCCGGCCTGGCTGGGGACGTGGGTCCACCTGATCTCTCTGAAGGGCTCGGCCACATGGGCCAGCCTCTCCCATCCACCTGCCTCCGCCTCCACTGTGTTTCCAGCAGAAGCAGGGCCGCTCCTGCAGCTGCCCTGGGGTCCAGTCGTGGTGGGGGCTCCCCTGGGCGTTGCTCGGGGTCACTGGGACACCCATGCCTCACCCAGCCACATGACTTCCTGCCCCTAGACGCTTCCAAGGCCGGCCCCCCGAGCTGCCCCTCCAGCCGCAGAAATGGAGGTGACATGGTGTCCTCTCTCGGTCACGTGTTGCTCCGCCTCATGGGTGCAGAGGAGCAGGGCATGTCCAGAGACCTCCCCGTACAGGACGCGGCCTCTCCCCTCATGTCCGTGCCAGCCAGAGGATTCCCCACCTGTGACTGAGGGGCCCAGCAAATTGAATTTCTTTGGGAGGGCTGAGGTGCATTTGCATCTCAAAGGAAGACTCTGTTTTGCTCTTAATCCCAGGCCCGCACGCCAGCTGGAGGTCCTGGGAGGAGGCTGCAGTCATGCCCTCGGCTCCCGTCTTCACAGGCTGGGCCTCCGGCGCCCACGGAGTAACCCCCGGGCGGCGGCACGGACGCTCCAGCGTCCATGGACGTCTCAGCACGTGGCTCAGACCCAGAGCGTGTGTCATTTCCAGGGTTTAGTGTAAATAGCACCCAATCGCCACTGCAGGCAGGAGGAGTCACCTGGGATGGGAAGCCTCAGGCTCTGCTTCCATCGGGGTCCAGGGCACCAGCACCGCTAGAGCTTCGGAAACACACCTCCCCCCTCCCCCGCCCGGCCCCTGCGGCCTGCGGGCATCGGGCACCTGCCTGCGAGGGTGTTTGAAAGCCCTCCTGGCAATTCTGAGCTGGAGCCTGGCTGAGCGTCACTTGGCAGGCGCTCCACTGACAAGAACCGGTGGTTGCCGGCGATACTTTCTGGGTTCTGTCTGCACCACGGCTACCGTTTACCCTCATTTTCCTCTTCAGTCCACACAGCAGCCCCGAGGAGCCGGCATGGGAATCATCCCATCTGATGGATGTGAAAACTTAGGCACAGATGTTGGGTGAGTCCCCTAAGGCCTGTTCGGCGCCAAAGCCCTTGCCGTTCATTTTCCCGGGGCCGGGGTCTCCAGGAGGGGCCCGAACCCACAGCCTCAGTGGCACCAGGACGCCCGCCACGTGCCACCGCCCCCTGCGGCCGGGGCGTCCCCGCCGCCCCTACCTGGGAGGACATCCCGTGGCAGGGGTACAGGATGGCCCGGTCGTCATCTTCCGCCCCCTGGTCCAAGCAGTAGCCGCTGGCTTTGCTGTTTCTCACCTGCAGCCAGAAAGCCAAGGAGACGCCCCATCACAAGGGTCCCTGAGGCCGAAGCGGGCTGGAGGCGCTGTACCTGCCCATCCCTGCCCAGTGCCAGGGGTCTCAGGAAAGCGTGGGCCCGACGTCCAGGATGAGACCCACCAGGGCGCGGGGGCTGCCCTGGAAAGGGGAGGCGTGCGCCATGCGTGTGTGGATGTGCCTGAGCACTTCGCTGTCTGCTGTCCACGCACACAGGCACAGGGAGGGGTGTGGGTGCCGGGTGGTGGGGTGCGGGGGGTGCAGGCCGGGGGCCATCCCGGCGGAGGCGGTACCTCTCCGTACGTCAGCGTGTCGTTGTAGGTCCTCATCTCTGGGTACACGTTGTCCAGGTACCACTTGAAGCTTCGGCATTTCAGCCTCTGGCGCAGGGCCAGCCGCTCAGACACGTCCCCGAAGTCCACCCCCGGGTTCTGCAAGGCCAGAAGGGCACTTGAATGTGGAGCGCCTCCACTACCCAGGCCTCTGCCCAGGGCAGGGGAGCCTCAGGGCCCACAGACCCTCCTACCGGAGCAGCCCCCACCCTCCAGGCTCCCAGACACCGAGCCTCTGGGGTGGCCTCCCGCCCTCCCGGGACCCTAGCAGGTCCCGGGTAGCTGTTTCCGATGGGAAAACCCTGGTGTCTCCAGCCTGCTTTGCGGCGGGTCCTGCTGGAGACCAGCCTGGCCTGGATGGACGGGCACTGGTGGTGTGTGGGCCTGGCTTGTCCACACCCTGCACGCTCCAAAGGAAAGACTTGCCCTTGGCCAGCTCGCCCATGTGTGTGCTGGGTCCTAGTGCAAGATCTAGCTCTGATGGTGGGTTGATGTATAAAAGCTTTTTCCAGGACAAGTCTATACCAGGGCCCAGGGACTCGAATCCTCCGTGTCCAGGGAAGCAATGTGTGCATGAAGCTGGTCCTGCAGTCCGTGCGGGTGGGCGGGGACGGCAGCCCGGGCGTCACCCCACCAAAGGGGCAGCCTGTCCTCAGCACACACGCACACCCAGTGCACACACGTACATGCACGCATGCAGTGCGTATGCCCAAGCCCGCTCCTCCAGGCTGCCCCCCGGGTTAGGAACCCCTGGCTTACACCCAGCTCCTGCTTCCTGCCAGCAGCAGGCAAGCACCTCTCCAGGCCTCCTGTCCCCCACTCCCTGCAGGGCAGGCTGGTCTGGCTGCAGGCAGCACCCAAAGCGGGAGAGGAAGCCGCCATCCCTACAGCGGGGGCCCCCGAGAACCTGGTTACGGGTCTGACAGGGGACGCAGTTCTGTTCTGGCTCTGGCTCTCAGCAGCAGTGCGTCCCCGCATGCCTCGGTTTCCCTCTCCGGCAGTTGGGAGGGGGTGCTGTGTTCTAGGGGGTGCTGCCGTCGCCCTGGGGGAGCTCCCGTGGTGGAAGGAGGGGCGTGCTAATTAGCGCAGTGGTCGTTGCACTACAGACAAGGAATGGGCTCTCCTCGCCGCCGGAAGTATCGACATTCCAGAGACCCTTCCGGCTGAGCTGCCCGGGAGGCCCCACCTCCCCTGATGGGCTGCACCTCCCTGGGGCGGCCTCCCCCCCCCATCCCCGCCCTGGCTTCCGCCCCGCCCGGCCCCACCCGGCCGGCTTACGGTCATGGGGATGTTCCAGGCCATGTACACGTGGGACTTGAAGCCGTCCATCCACACCTCGGCGGCCCGCAGGGCGTTGCGCTTGGCGTAGTAGTCGATGTCATTGTTGTAGGGCTTCTTGGTGCGCTCGATGTGGGCCACGCGGGAGCAGGGCAGCACCTCCATGCTGCCGCCGCACTGCCACACCTGCGGGGGCACCCAGGGCCCGCTGGCTGGCCGGCCCTGCCCTGCCCCCCAGCCCCCGGGGCACCCGCCTCCACCCGGGCACCCTGCTCCCAGACCCCGGGACACGCCTCCCCGAGGGGGCCCTGGCTGCCTGGGCCGCTGGGGGCAAGAGGCCCAAGAGAAGCCGCGGCCTTGGGTCCAGTCCACCAAAGCCTGGGTGCCAGGCGGCCTCGCCCTCTGGCTTTCCCATCAAATTCTTTTCCCTGAACCTTCCAGGATCTAAACAAGAGAGAGATTCTTCTCCTGACACCTCGACACTTCCTTAGTATCCCCTTCCCGGGGCCCCCAACCCACCCCCACCCAGGGCTGGCTCCGGGCTGGGAGTTTGGCCTGAGAAGCGTCACTTCCCACCAGCAGCTGCCCCTCCCCTCCAGCCAGAAGAAGAAACCTACAATCTAATTTAAAAAGAGCAGCTCGCTCGGCAAACCGTTCCAGACAACTTCGATCCAAGGACGCACGGCTCCCAGTACCCCAGGCGCGGTCTCGGCCTACAGAAGTCTAAACAGGCAGCGCTGCTTCTGCAAACAAGGCTCCCCAGGGGCCCTGGCTGCCGGAACCCTCAGCGGGGATAGAAAGGTATTTTGCATCATAATCTCCTTTCTATGCATGGTTACCTCTGCACTGCTTCGCCCAAACAGAACAGCCTCACTAGGCATGGGGTGTGTTAGTCTGCTCTGTTCTGTTCTATTCGATTCCATTCTGTTCCATTCTGTCCCACCCTTTTCTGTCCCATCCTCTGCCATCCTATCTCTGATGGTTAATTTTATGTGCCAACGTGACTGAGCCACGGGCTGTTCAGGTATTTGGTTCGCCGCTGTTCTGGGTGTGTCCAGGAGCGTGTGTCCCGGTGAGAGGAACACTTAACTTGGTGGGCTGAGTATAGGAGACTGCCCTCCTCAGTGTGGGTGGGCCCTGTCCAATCAGTTGAAGGCCTGAATAGAACGAAAACCAACTGAGCAGGGAGAACTCACCCTTTCTGCCTGCCCGTCCGCGAGGTGGGACGCTCATCATTTCTTGCCTTGGGACTTGGACGGGAACTACCCCCTTAGCATCCTGGGCCTCCCACTCGCCAGCTGCAGACCTTGGGCTTCTCAGCTTCCATGACTGTGTGGGCCAACCCCTCGTCCTCTCGGGAGAACCCAGACTAACACACCCCCTACCCTACCCCGCGCCACCCTGCTGGAAACTTGCTGGTGCTGACACGGCCCGCAGCCGGGATAAGAAGTCATCTCTGAGCAAGTCGGGCATCCTGGCTGAGGGCAGGCTGTCTGCCCCTGGTGGTTCCCTGAGCACGTCCCCACACGTCCAGTCTCCCCTGGTCCGGCTCACGGCCTGCTCGGGCCCACCAGCTCCGCACCTGCACGCTCAGCGGGCGTCACCGCCCCCTTCGTCATGACCGTCAGACGCTGACCAGCTTGTTCCCAACTCCCGAGTGACATAGACGTGGCCCTGCTTCCACGTCGCTGGAGGAGGGCCTGGTCCCGGGGGGACGCCGGGGGCAGCAGGGGGAGGGCTGGAGGCCCTGCAGGGGCTTTGAAGGGCCAGGCCTGTGCGTGACTTCCGCCACTTCTGCTCACACGCCTGTCAAACCCAGGCACGTGGCCCAGCTGCCCAGGAGGCTGGGAACGTAGGTGGACACCCGGTGAGCCAGGGATCTTCCAGAAGGCCAAACATGGAAACAGAAGGGAGGAAGCTCTACAGACCTGCAGGGAAGCATCCGACTCCCCCGCCCACCTTCTGTGGTTGCTGTCACTGCCAGTTTCCTGGGTCCCCCTGTTCCAGCTGCTGTCCCTCCCTGCCCAGACTCAGCACAGGGCTGGGGTTCTGCCAAAACCCAAGTCTGGCTGTCCTGTCCTCTGCTGCTCCCAAGACTCACCAGCCTCAGCCCCGCTCTGCCTCTGCTCACTTCAGAGCCCGGCGCGTACCCTGCCCAGGGCCTTTGCACCAGCTGCAAAAGGCCTCCACCCGGAACTTCCTCCCCGGAGCTCCGTCTGCCTGGCTGCCTGCCCACCTTCAACTATGCTCAGATGTCACCTCCTCCAGGATTCCCTCTTGACTGCCCCATTTAAAGCTACAGCGTCTCGGGTCTCATCCCCTGGCCAGCCTTATTTACTGTCGTGGCTTTTTTTCTCCTCACACCATTGACTTACTGATTCCATTTTGTCCGTCTGCGCTACGCAGATGTGAGCCTTGGTCAGGGGGGTTTCTGTTGCTATGTTCCTGACTGATCTACCTGGACCAGGAGGTAGCGGTCTGCCGTGTGGGGGCAGGGCGGGGTTAACTCGGTCCTCGCTACAGATGAAAGGAAGACCTGAGGCTCAGAGGAGTTAAGAAGGGTGTCCAGGGTCACACGGCTGGCTCATGGTGGGGCAGGGACTCGGAAACACTGCACGCAGCCCCCGAAGTGGCTTCTTCGCCCAGACTGGTGGAGGTGTCGCAGGGCCGGGTCACACGATTGAAGGGTTACTGTCACACCCAACCACTAATTATCTCAATCAACTTGGTTAATTGCCACTCAAACAGAAACAGCAAACACGAGGCAGAGGAGCAGGTGTGAGGCCTGCGGGCAGCTGCTCGGAGGGAGGGCGCAGGGGAGATCCCGCCCCGCCTGCAAGGACCCCCGCCCACATGGACCGCTGCCTCGCCCCTCAGCCAGCAGATCGCCTCAGCTCCTGGGGCCTCCGTGCTGGTTTCTGAGAGCTGGGATTCCAGAGCCACCGCCCTCGTGCACAAGCCCTACTCCTTAAAAAGTCCAGAAATAATGGTCCATCTGCATGGCTGCTGGTGAACAGCCGATTCTCCCTCCAGCCGCCCCGCTGTGTGAGCTGACACGTGCCCCAGTGGGAGCCGAGGGGGTGGGACTGAGACCTGGCCAGGACCCAGCTGTCACGGGGCCGCATGTGGCCTGGGGACTGCACAGCAGGAAACCTGGCCCCAGTGCTTTCCCTCGAACTGACGCTCTTAGGACGTTCATTGTGAAACAAGTGGCCATTTCCCTTCCTTGTTTTCTTCCTGAAACTTGATGATCAAAGTGACCTTTCTGGGGAGCCTGGCTGTTAGAAAGCGAGTGCTTCCTGCGGCCTGAGCGGGAAGACAATCCCGGCTGCTCGGCTTGGCCTCGCATCCCTGGCAATGCGAATGGAAGCGAGGTCTGTGTGTCATTTTAATCGAGACGTATCTCTAGACTCTGAGTTCATTTCACATGCTGCACAGCCTCCCCACAGCCCCTCATCAGCCTGCGCTTCTCTGTGAGCATCTCTGTCCCTGGGAGACAGAGCCTTGGCCCGAGGACACGGGGGAGGGCAGGAGCCCCCAAATCCTGCTCTGCAGTAGACTCTCCGGGAGGAGCTTAAAGTCCTGTGGTCAGGCCTCACCCCCACTGACTACATCAGGAACTGATGGTGGCATCCCTGGGGACCCGAACTTGCACTCCAGGGGGAGGGCCGTGCTGTCCCGGGGCCTCGCTGGGGAGGCAGAGGGTGAGCCCTGCAGTTCTGTTTGGGTAAAGCTGAACACAGGGGCCACTGCTGCTCCTGCGATCAGGGTTTTCAGCTGGCTCTGTATGTTTCCTTCTGGGTGTTGGAAACCACTGAACATGATGAAAGCTGGTTTTCACCTGGAAAATACTGAGGATGGGGCTTCACCTCTCAAGGTATGGCCAACATCTACTCAAGTCTGCCTTTCCCTCTTTCTTGCCTTTGTGATAATCCATGTATCCAATGTGTATCAAACTATTCAATAATCCACTCATTTACTTATTGATCTATCCATCCATCCACCCTTCCATCCATCCATCCATTCATCCATCCATCCATCCATCTACCCTATCC